CCGGGCCGGGGGGGAGCCGGGGAGCGGCGGGGGAGAGAGAAAAGAACACCCCCGCGGAGGGAGATGTTGTTATTTTTTGCTGCTCTGAGGCTCTGACGTCACATCCACCTGCTGGGTAAACAAGGCTCAAAAAATTGCGAGAGAAAGCCGGAGAGGGCGGCGGGGGGCGGGCGCTGCCCGGCCGGAGCGCACAGACGTGCGGGGCTCGCGCCTGAGGCGAGTTCGGGAGGTGAAAGTTCAAGCGAAGGACAAGCCCGGCTGTGCGTGTGCACGTGTGTCCGTGTGCGTGTCCGTGTGCGTCCGCCTCCCCGGGAAAGTCCAGCCCCGGCTTTTATGCTGGGGGGGACCCAACTTGTACCTCTCTGACTAGTTGGTTTAGCCCCCATTGAGGGCTGGATTTCAGGGGGAAAGGGGAGTGGGGCAGCTCTTTGCCCTGGCGTCTGGCGGAGAAAGAGACCCGTAGTGACAGGACCCACCTCGGTCAGGTCTGCAGGCCCCCCGCCCACGCCATACACTGTTAAAACCTGCTTTAGACACCTCTATGACTTAGAAATAAATGAGTCAGGGGAAAACCAATACATCTTCCCCCCTCCGGTTTAACTGGCGCTAGTCGGAGGAAGCAAAGGGCTTGGTGAGCCAAAGGCCCCGTCGCGCCAACTTGTACTCGCAAGAGATGCTTTTGCCCCTCCTGCAAGGGGACCCGGGCGAGGGGCTTGGTTGCCGCGCGGAGCGAGGGCTTGCAGAAGCAGGCCTCAGCAGCAGGAGCCTAATCTTGCATTCCTTATTTAAAACAAAATTCCTATTGATCTCGGCAGGAGTTTTGACTGAGCAAGGACGGCGTGATCGGATCTTCCATATCTGTCAAACTTATAAAGTCTAGCAAATAACAATAACAGCACTTCTACAGTTTCACACTGCAAACATATCAAGGGGGGTGGGAGGGGAGCAAAGCTGTCTGGTTTTAACTCGCCCTATTCAAAGCATTATAGCAATTATTACTAATATATAGAACGGCACCTCCAGGAACTGTTTGGTTGATGTGCTCTGCAAGATCATCCACACTGGTTAAAACAATTTGGCGGAAATTAAGAGAGCTAACATAGATAGGGAGCGCGTTAAACATAGAGATCGTGGCATTTCCATTGTGGAGCTCATCCGTGCTGCGTGGTGGCACAGGGATTGCTGTAAAAATTACCCAGCAGTTGGTAAGACGGGAGTGTCTGACCTGGCGTGGGGCATGGCCTGGAGTGCAGGGGATCAACACACTCAAAAGGGAAAATCCAAGTCACAGGAAAAGCCTCTGCTTACTTCAGGGGGGGCACATGCTCCCCAAGTCATGGATGGAGGGAGCCATTGGGTACCATCAATTGTCTCGGTAGTTAAAAATTATAAATACAAAATTCTTCTCTCTCTCAGCCACACACACACACTCTCCGTGACACAAATCCTGTACTTACCTGTGTGCAAAATGCCCAATGTCTTGCATACAGCCAACAGAGATGCACCCTGCAGACTAAAGACAAACGGGCTGCTCTTCAGCTCTAAACTTCTAACATTTGACCAATGAGCATACCTAGCATGTGATACCAGGGAGATGATAAAAACAATGGTGATTTTTTTTTTCTAAGTGGGTGGTTAAAATTAGATAAATTTAACTATAAAATGCAGTGGCTTAATGTTCAGTGGCATTGAGGGCCTAGAAACATGCACTAGCAACTGAGCAGTGGTCTACAAAGAACAATTTAGATGGCAAAGCTGGTTCTAGGAACTATTGAGCAATACACTTTGTTTGCAGAAACTCTTTTCTTTCGAGTATAAAAGATCAGTTAATCTTATTGTTTTCATTCCTTTGGATTTTGGCAACTGTATTCACCTCATGTTTGGGCCTTCAGCAGGTTGGAAACAAGACAGTCGGGAGGGGAAGCTTACTTTAAATGTTGCAGTATATGATTTTGTATATTTAAATGTCTGCCTGGCTAAGTGGGAAAGGACTGAGTGTCCATTTAGTATACATTAGTGAGGAACTTAGCATATTGTTAATTTTCAACACTGTCACGTTGCATTCATATAGAGCACATTTTAATTTCTTGATCAGTAATCAAGTGGAAGTTTCTTTTTGGCAAATTAAAGCAGGAAGGATTTTCACACAGAAGAAAGGGCATGGGAATCGGACGCCACCTTTTGGTAGAATAAGGATATAGGAGCATATTCCAAGAAAAGATGCTACTGATATGCAATTACACTTTAAATTACAGTAATGGCAAAGTACTTATGCCTAATTCATTATATTTTAAATAATTAAGAGGAAAATTGTGGCAAATAAATATTTGCAAAGAAGATGCTTTAGCTGTACTGTAAGGGGAATCTCCAAAGATAGTCCATGAATCATTCCATTTTGTCACTGTATTAGTTAATAGACTCAGTTATGAAAAAGCATCAGAAAAATACAGTCTTCTCACGTTAATCCCTCCACCTGAAAGATACTGGGGGAGCACTCGGATTTAGGGGCTCGGAAGGGGCGGTTAACCTCTTTTTGAGACCTAATTAGGGTCACTTTCAACGTGGTTTTATTTTACTTCAGAATTGATTTCCAGGAAGAAAGCACAAGAGAAGAAAATACAGGGGACAACTCCTAGAAGTTATTTTCCCTCTTGCTGTAGCTCCCTAGGAGTTTTTGCTGTGTTATTCGAACATGGAATAAACTTTGTTTGTTGTAAACTTCTCGGTCTCTTGTTTTTAACTATGCAAATTTAAACCGGTACTTCAAGTCTGTAAAGCATGATTAATTCTCTAGACAATAACAGCAGTGGGACTTCTTCCTCCCCCTCCACTACTGTAGTTGCTAATTGCACTCGAATTGTTTACTGCTGTATTGTTTTACAAGTGCCTGGAGAAAGAGATGCTTGATATTCCCAGCCCTACCATCGTCATCCCAGGAGCAAATGCTTGGCAGCTTTTGGTTAGGGTGTACACAGGCTATGACTACAGTTTGTTAGTAAAAAAAAATAAAATAAAATATGAAGGTGATGACGCCTCCGTAATTATAGGTGTCACTGTTTCAAAGTCAGAATGTTTTCCAAGCTGTTGTGGGCCACACCTCCAATATCCCATGAGCCCTGCCTCTTAGAGTCCTTTCCATTTCAGTCAATGATTTATGAGGATATACAAAGTACATCAACAGGGCTACATTGTGCCTGTTGAGAAACAAATAGGAAATAAGGGAGGGCTTCCTTACTTAGACACAAAGCAAAAACAGACACCCTAGCACGCCTCTATCTTTTCATCTCTCCTTATACAGAAATTTGAAAATTTAGAAGCGGAGCACAGTAACAAAAAATGGCACACTGAAAAAGTAAATGTATATTGACTTTACAGCTTGTCTTAATTTTTTTTTTTTTTAGTTTAAATTAATCACCCTGCTATTATTCTGAGGAGGTATAATTAAAACATAGACCCTATGAGTAATCGTATACCTGAATTCACAATAGATTTCTGTTGGAGGTTGACATTCCCTTCACTTTCTCCTTGCTTTAGTTTAGAATTGGAGAAATTTAAATGGCTATGACAATAGTCATTGTTCAAAATGCAGAACGGAAGATGCAATTTTGCAACTCTATAGAGGGCATATGTATGAAAAGATAAACAACACGGGACATTTCCGTGGCCCAAATAGCTGGAGGGTGTAAGGCTCAGCTTTGTGTTCCCTCCACCGCCAACAGCAAATTTTAAAATGCAGTTGGAGGCTGATCCCACAACCAGTGAAACCATTGACAATATCCTTGTGGACTTCTGTGGCAGTAGGATTCATTTCCAATATGGGGAGTCAGGCTAAGTGGAAAAAACAAGACGACTTAGCTAGGATTGCAAATTGGCTTGTCTGACCAAAAAGAAATATAGAGGTCCCCGATGAGAACTGGAGCCAAAGCCAGGTCAATTGAGAAAAAAAAAATTAAATTGTGTTTTATGTTCTTCTTGCAGGGAAAAGCTGCCAACTTAAAACTAGCCTGTACTTTGAAATCTGGGGGCAGGTTTTCCGAAGTGCTGAGCTCCTTGGGGCTGCCCTTATTCTCACAAATCATTTCTCTTCTCTACCAGGGGATGGTGTTAACAAGGGAAAATAAGCTAAAGGTCCATTTCCATTTGCACTGTCTTCCTGGAAGTGCTGGCCAGACAGGCACAGAGAAACATGTGTTTAATTCCTCCATCACACAGATGTAAATCTAGACTAGGTCTGTTGAAATCACTGGAGTTACTCAGATTCATTTAGGCAAAAGTCACTCCAGGATTCCTAAAGGCATCCTGAATTCTTCAGCCAGATTTTCATCCTCTCCTCACAATGAGACATGCCTTATTCCTTAAGCAATCCTATGGACTTCACGTGTATCAGAATCTGGCCATAGACAAACTTGTCCAAATCACACTTTCAGTTGTCCTGGGTTACCAGACAATAGGTATTTATTTCCTTTTCCTGTGGGGGCAATGAATAGCCATTGTATTTGGGCCAGACTATTAATCTGCCCAAATTCGGTGGGGATTTTTAAATGAATATTCATGGGAATTAATGTCATTAGATTCCTATTGCTTCCTGAATATAATTATGTGCAATACATGAATTGGCACACGCCACAAGACTTCCACTCTTCTCGTAAGTCTATGACCAATTCATTTGCAACACCACAAGTCAGGCACTCTTGCAGTATTGAACACGTGTAAGACAGTACTAGCAGGGGTGGCCTTACTTAGTGGAAAAGCTGGGATGGAGGAGAGACTTGTAAAATAGGAAACATTCATTGCAGGAAGCAAAGGACAAATGTAGGGTTTAAGAGAGGAAAGATGCAAGGGAGAGAGGAGGAGGAGCAGAACTGCACAAAAACCGTTCCCAAGCCACATCAACAAATATGAACCAAACTTACCAATTTTTCTTTTAAACAGTATTTTTGTTGCCTTTCTCTGATCCAAGGACCTCACCCACAGGATATACACAGGTTACTTTTCGGGGGTTTTGCCTTTTTCCCATCTGGTCAAAGGAAGGGAAGGCCTTGGGGCCCAAAGACCTTCCAGGTAGTAAATGCCCAAGTCCATTTGTCTCGGATACCATACATTGCATGAATTTTGTCGTGCAGTTCCTCAGATAAAGCAAATATTAAAGGCAAATGGGCATCCAGCCATGAGGATTCCTGTGACTCCTGCACCCTATCAGAAACAAGGGCTCTGCCCAGCATGCTGGACCTTGCTCTGCCATGGTTAGATGCATTCAGGTTCAGCACTTGGTCAACAAAGTCAGGTACTTCACAAAGATCTGCGTCTGCGCCAAAGCAGAAGTAAAAAGGGAAAGCAATTATTGACCTCAGTAAAACACAGGGGCTGTTTAAACAGACAATGCAGCAAAGCCCTTCAGGGTGGTAAAAAGTTTGGGTTACTCCAGGTGAATTCAAAATGAAGTTCAGTCTTCTGGAGAGTCACAAGGTCCATCTTTCCCACCCATCTGAAATCACAAAGCAAGGGCCTGATGCTGGTGCTTATTCCCCAGCTAAGGAATATGTGTTAGGGATTTAAAAATAAATAAAATATTGGTCTGGTTCCGAATGACTATATGACATGAGAAAATGTGCTGAATTGATATTGGAATTGGAAAAAAATAAGGATGCATTTTCATTTAGAGTCAAGGCAAGCATGCTCTCTCACCTTTCTTGTTTTTTTTTAGCATTTCTGAAAATGTTAAAGGAAATTAAAGGAAATTTTCAAATGAAAGGTTTCAAACTAAATTTTTTTTTTTTTTTGCAATCAGTACATACAATTTTACACATTTCTTCACTTTAAAAAAAAATGAACACTGATGTGTGTGGCATGTATTTATGAAGCACGCTGGTGTCACTGTGTCTACGCTGCTGCCAAAACCAGTTTTGAGAAAGAATTTTTTCCCCAGTTCTTTATCTGAGAATCACTTTCCTTGGAAGTATAGGAAGTCACCTGCAGCTTCCCATGATTATTCTGCTGCAGTAGAGCTCTAGTGACACCTGTCATCTCTTCTTTATCTCATTTACATTCCACCATTTGATTTCCACGACTTAGCAGAGTCTGGTCTTTTTCAAAACTAGTTCGCTAGTTAACCAACAAAGATACAAAGGTTATGATAGACTGACTATATGTCTGCTATTTGACATGCAGGGATATGACAGGCTGTCATGCACCTATATTAAGATTATTTTATGTAATTTATTAACCTGGTTTATTATAGCCTTTGCAATGGTAAAATATTCTGGTTCCATTTGAACCCCTTTCCACTGGGTTGTAACCTCCCAAAAAGCC